ACCTGTGCCAGGTGAGAGGGAGCCGCCTCCTGCGGACCCCCGCCCACCCACCACCGCAGCCCAGCACCGACCCTGTGTCATCTCCTGGGCAGGCGGCTGCAAGGGTGCGGGAGACCGGCCAGGCACTGGCCCGTCACACCCCAGAGAAAGCCCCTGGGACCAGAGTCCTGACTCTTGTCCCAAGCTGGTGGAGGGAGAGGGAGACCTGTCAGAGCTGGGGCAGGTGGCCCCAGAGCATCCTGGCAGGGGTGGTGGAAACAAGGAGATGGGGGACCACTGGGTCCCCCAGGTACCTGTCCTGCTGGGCCCTGCCTGTGGCCTCCCCATGACCTGCCCTCACTCCAGGAGCCCACTGGCCATCCTCATGCAGTTCAGACAACTCAGGGGCCCCCTGGCAGGTCCAAGACATAGGGTAGGCAGAGCAGCCCCCACTAGCCTGGCTCCCCAGCTCTCCCCTCCCGGGCTCAGCCCCACAGGTCTGTGGCTCCTCCTCAGGAGGAAGACACAACTCCCCTCCCCACTGCGCAGGGCCTGGAATCACGGAGACCAGGGCCCCCAGACAGTGAGCCGGGGCCAGTCCCCCAGGCTGGGAGACCCTATCAGTCTCTCAGCTCAGGCTGCCACCAGGGGGTGCCATGTGGCTCCCTCTTCTCAAAACTAAATCAGTTTAATGAGGGGCCACCTCCACCTGTGTGAAGGAAACTAGCGCAGAAACGGCTAGGATGAGTGTTCACAGCGAGTGAAGCTTTAGCCTCAATTAGATAGGTGGACAGATTTAGATGTGATGTAAAATTGAATTTACACAGGTCATAGTTAGGGATTTATGTTTTGTTTTGCGTTATTTGGGGTGCTGAAGTTGGAGCCCAAGGCCTACTGCCTGCTAGGGAAGCACTGCCTGGTGAGCTGAGCTGCACCCCTGCCCCCCAGAATAGACTTGAGGTGCTGAGGTCTGGGGCTTGCCCACCTTTTAAACAAGTGCCTGGTTAGGGCTCGGGGATCCCTGAAACAGAAGGGAACTCAGAAGCCTGCTGGAACCAGCTGCAGGAAGGGACTTGCACCTCTAATCCTGGTGACTCAGGAGGCTGAGGCAGGAGGACTGCAAATTTAAGGCCATCCTGGGCAATCTAGTGAGCAACTTTTCTCAAAATAGAAAATTTCAAAGGGCTGGGCATGTAGCTCAGTACTACAGGGCTCCTGAGTTCCCACCCTAGAACCGGAAAGGAAGAAAAAAGCAGATGCCCCAGTTACTCCTACCCAGTGTAGGCCTCCTTTCCTGCCTCTGCCTTTGTGATGTGCTCAGGGCCACAGCGTTTAACTGGCTGATGCCTAGGGCTAGGGAGGGGCCAGGCCTGGGAGACCATTGGAGGGACAGTGACTTTGACTTTCTGCATCCACTGGGCGGGCACCATCTCTCCAGAACCCCCTTGGACTGTGTCTGTCACCTCTCCCTCTGGGAGGACAGAAACCTGATGTGCTGATTTTATACTCAGGAAAATCAGGGTGGAGGAGGTGAAGGTGCGGAGAGACAGAAAACCTTCCTTCTTTCTCCTCATCCTCACCAACACCTATTTTTTCCCTTAATTTTAAGCCACCCAAGAGGGTGTGAGGTGGGTCTTGCTGTGGTCTGGTTGAGTTTTTCTGATGACTTGCTGTGGTTATTCGGCCGCTTGGGCCTCTTTTATAGAGAGATGGCTATCCTCATCTCTCCCTTTTTTGCATTGTATTGTCTTTTTGTTGTTGAGTTGCAAACATTCTTTATATATTATGGATGCTGGTTCCTCATCAAATACCTGACTTGCAAGTACTGTACTTTCTACCACTCTGCGAGTCATCTTTCTCTTCCCAAAGCTCCAGGATGGAGGTACAGGGCCCAGAGTCATCTCCGCGCCATGGAAGAATAAATGGACGCAGGGCTGTCTGTGATTTGGGCCCTGGGGAGTCCAGAACTCCCCCTTCCTGTGGCCTGATCTCCCTGTCTCAGGCTGCTGCTCTGGCCGGCGAAGGCAGGGCTCACAGCTGCTGGGACCAGTCACGCTGGCAGGGTGCTGGTGTTGCCTGGGTGGGGGCCGTAGCCCAAGAACCCGCCCCCGCCCCAGCAGAGCGTGTCTCCACGTGTTACAGAGCAGTGAGCTGCTGCCGGTGCATGCAGAGGAGTTGGCTACATGGTGATACACACAGGGAGACGCCACCGGGGGGACTATGGGGCGCTGGAGCTAATTGCTGTGGGGGTGGGTGGCAGCACTCACCCTGGCGCCTCCGGCCCAGGGTTCTGACCTTGTGCTGTGGCTGGGCTGGGGCACAGAGACAGCTCTGCCACCCTGTGAGAGCTGCATTGTGCCTGGGGGACGTTTTGCTTTTCTTTTTTTCCTTTTTTTTTGAGACAGAATCTCACTCTGTGATCCTGGCCTTGAACTCTGTAGCCCAGACTGGCCTGAAACTCACAATCCTCCTGCCTCAGCCTCCCAAGTGCTGGGATTATGGATGTGCACCATGGCACATGGCTGTTTTTTGTTTTATTGGTACATTTCAGGTATACATAATGATAACATTCATCATAAGGGATTTGTACCTGTACCTGATAGATCTTGCTTCTTGTTTTCCGTCCCTCTCCCCTCCACTTGACCCTCTTCCCCTCCTTATTTACAAGAGCTTTGTTTCCTTTTTTTTTTTTTTGGTACCAGGGATCAAACTCAGGTCTTTGTGCTTGCGAGGCAGGCGGCAGAACCACTGAGCTAAATCCCCAGCCCTCCTGTTTCCATTTTTTAACATGGAGCTGGATTTGTTCTCTACCTGGGGCACACTCCCGATTCTGGGGCCAGGACCCTGGCTGTAGTGGTCACACGCTGTGGGGTGCCTGTGTCTTGTTCAGCTTGGGTCTGGACACTGGCACTTCTCAGGGTGTGTGGGTGCAGGTGAGCAAGTCTGAAAGCTGGGTCCAGTTGTCCTCACCTTTCTGTTCTCTCTCTCCCGTCCCCCAGAAGGCAATGGCACCTGCTTCCCCCACAAGGAGGCCCCATCCACGCTCAGCGACCTGCCCCGGCCCTGGGACTACACCTCAGCTGTCACCTGCATCTCCCTGCCCCTCCTGCCTCATCAAGAGGAAGCTCTGGGGTTCCCTGGGCCAAATGCCCCAGAGATTGGCCTGGGGGGCCCTTGGGCTGCCCGGGCCCCTAGTTTCCCCCTCAGAGACAGCCTGAACCACCTCAACCTGCCCCCACTGCTGCTGCTGCCCACACGCTGGCCCCCGATCCTGCACCCCCATGCATACGGGTCTCCAGACAAACTGCTCGGGGCCATGGGGGCCCCTCGAGCCCCCGGAGGCTTCGAGTGCGGGCACTGCCACAAGGCCTACCACACGACAGCCGGGCTGGCCCGGCACCAGCAGCTGCAGTGCCACCTGCAGGCCGGGCGCGTCTTCACCTGCAAGCACTGTGACAAGGAGTACGGCAGCCTGGGTGCCCTCAAGATGCACATCCGCACCCACACGCTGCCGTGCGTGTGTAGCATGTGTGGCAAGGCCTTCTCCAGGCCCTGGCTGCTGCAGGGCCACATCCGGACCCACACAGGTGGGACAGGAGGACAGGGCCCCACATTACCCTCTGTACACCAAGTCCCACACACAAGTGTGGACGGACGTGCACCCTCCAGGGTCACGCTGTCCCAAGAGGCTCTGGGCAGGGTCACCCTCCTGCCTCTGCCCTGGCAAGCACCTGCCCCAGTCCTCAGCCACGGCCATATCCCTTTGCCTTTGCCTCCCCTGTGTGTCTGTGCCCACGTGTCCCTCCGCGGTGAGGACACCAACAGCAGTCATGCGGGCTTACAGCTCCCGAGCAGCCCCATCTTGATTATATTTGCAAAGATCCTGTTTCTAAACCAAGCCACAGATGCACGAGTGGGGTGTGGGCAAAGCTCAGAGTGCAGAATCTTGGGCCTGGGGCAGTAAGAAGGAGAGGAAGGTGGCCTGGGCATCAGGACAGCAAGAGGCGAGTCCCAGGACTTGGGGACATGTAGCCCGCCTGCCCAGCTGGCCGGTCCCATGGGGATACCAGCTGGTGTCTTGGGGCTCCATAGTACTGCAGGGCTGGATAGTGGTTTCTCAGGGCCCCTTCCTGCTGTCTTGCCAGGGTCATCTTGGGGCCAGGATCCCAACAGAAGGCCCTTGTCCCAAGCCCTGGGTTCCTCTCCTGTTGGCCAGCAGCCAGAGGCTCCTACAGCATCTCTCACTGGACCGAGCGGCTAGGATCTGGGTGGCCTCCGTGGAACCCTGAGAACCAGCGACCACTTTAGCCCTCATGTGGGGGCCTTTGATGCTGGGTCTGGGCTGCGTGACATTCTGCCTATCACAAGGAGCCATGACCCTGGGTGCTCACGAGCAGTAGAAGGGAGGAGCAGGTCACCCACAGACGGGCAGGACACTTCATGGCTGTACCTCTGTGGCCGCTCACCTGGCCCTGCCTTCCTCCTGCAGGTGAGAAGCCCTACACCTGCCCCCACTGCAGCAGGGCCTTCGCTGACCGCTCCAATCTCCGGGCACACCAGCAGACGCACTCCGGCACCAAGAAGTACCCGTGCAAGGGCTGCGGCAAGACCTTCTCCCGTATGTCCCTCCTGACACGGCACGAGGAAGCCGGCTGCTGCCTAGCCCCTGAGGGTCCCCCCTGCCCCGAGAGCTGAGGGCCGGCTGGCCTTGGACAGCCCCCGTCAACTGGGGTCCAGGAAGACAGAGGCCTGCCCTCCCCTGCAGCAGGCCCCACCCAGTGTCCTGCAGCTTGCTAGCGGCCAGCTAGGTGCCTTCCCTGGAAGGACTCAGCAAGAACAGTGGGAGGAGTGAAGGGAACGTGGTGCCTGTAAGGGCTCAGGTCGGGTGGAGGACTTGGCTGGGACAGCGGGGTGGCTGCACCTGGCTGAGTGGCATCACTGAGGCAGAGGAGCATCCCTAGCTCTGGCCAGCTCAACCTGATGTGGAGGGGATAACCAGACCCAAGCAAGGAGCCCTGACACCTTTGCCAAGAGGACAGTGGGGGGGGGGCCCAAGAGACACTTGTCCTGCTGTCAGCACCTCCACCTGCGGCCCCACCAAGGAATGTGACCTGAGCACCTCTGGTGGCTCCCCTCTCACCCTGAGGTGCCTGGGCTGTCAGCCTCCTACGAGAGAACATTCTAGAACATTCCAAAAGCTCTGCCACAACCACATACATGTGGTGCCTTCTCCTCACGGCTCACCCTTCAGCTGCTCCAGGCCAAGTCTGGCAGGAGTCCTGGCTGGTGTCGCCACCTGCAGTTTCAGCCCCATGGATGCTGGCCAGGCCCAGAGAGGCACTGAGCCTTGAGGATCCTGGAGGAAACCGGGTGATGCCACCGGTGCCCTGGGCCAAGGTGACCCTTGGAGCTGCCCTGCAGCCCAGCCTGATGATGCACTGAGAAAGCCAGGCTCACTGCCTCCCAGGGCCTAGAGGGAGCTGTGCACCACAGGTGGGGCCAGGCAACAGTTCTGGGGCAAATGTGCCCCAAAGGTGGCTATCCCTGGTCTCCTAGTCCCCTTTCCTCTCTTTCTATAAGATCACCAGTCCGTGGATTGGGGACCCACCCTGTGGTGCTCCCAAGCTCAACTCTGAGGGGCTGGGTTAGGACTTCAGCAAGGATTTGGGGGGCTGTGCCCACCCTGGTCAACTGAGCACCCATGGGTCCTCGCGCTGTCTCCCGCTCCCTCCCTCCCTCTGCGGAGGTGGGGCAGTGGGTTCCACTGAGGTGACTTGCTGGAGACCCTTCCCTCTGGTCTCCTCACCACTCTCTGCCAGGGAAAAGGCAGGAACCACAGCACCTGGGCCGGGAAGGTGGGACCCCACGCCATGTAGGGGCACGGGGGGCTCCCCAGTCGCATCCAGGTGCCTGGAGGAAGCGGTGCTGTGGGTCGCGTCTATTTCTGGGGCCCCACATCTAAATGGGGCTGCTGCACCTGTCGGTATGAAGGAAGGGAATTTCACAGCCCCAAAATAAAGCCGAATGTTTCCCTGCAGGACCAGCCCATGGAAAATGGGCTGATATTTATATCTGGCTGGTGGAGGGCAGGGCCGTGTGGGGAGTGTCGCAGAGCGGGGTGAGGGCACCGGTCCTGCCAGGGGCCTGGCCAGAATGAATGGAGGAGACTTTCCACCTTGTGAGGCAGGCTGAGGTCACACAGTGCCGGCCAGCTCCCCCGGGACACCTGTGCTGCAGCCACATGGCTGGCACTAGGGACACTCACCTAGTGACTCACCCAGGTCCTTTCAGCCTCTCAGCACCTTGACTGGAAACCACAAGAGTGTCTGCACCCGTTCATGACCCTCTGCTGCAGTGGCGTGGCCAGCCCTTCTCTGGGCCCTTTTACGGGCCCCTTCCTGCATCCTTTTCCACCCAGCATCACGCACTGAACCCCCTGGAAGGGCCCCTCTTTCCTTGTGGTACTGGGGGTTGAGCCCAGAATCTGCATACTCAGCTACAGCCACAGCCCTTTTAATCAGTATCCCCAATCCCCCCGTCCGGGGATCGAACTCAGGACCTTGAGCTTGCAAGGCAGGCATGGCACCACTGAGCCACACTGCCCCCAACCCCAGCGCTTTTTAAATGTTTCATTTTGAGACAGGTTCACTATGCTGCCCAGCCCACCTGGACTCAGGTGTGCTGGCGCCTCACAAGTCCAGGTCTTCCAAGCCAACTCCCAGGCACACAGTCAGAGATCTTCCCATGCCAAGGCAGGGAGGGGCGGCCGAGGTGCCCAGGACCAGAAGGGAGGTGGAAGCAGGGGTTTCGGTACATTTAGATGCAGGGAATGCAGAGGTCTAGCATTCGGGTAGTGGGCCAGTGGATGGGGACAGAAGGACCTGGCACCTCTCCTGCGACCACCCACCCCTCATGCTGGGAGGAGGGTGACTTGGACCCAGAGCCCAGCCCCCCGCAGCAGGTGTGTCGGCAGCGGGCCTCCCCGGATCGGCCCACTCCTGGGTACAGAGCAGGGCTTACATTGCTGTGGTCCCTTCCCAGAGGCCAGGGGTCTATAAATAGCACCTGGCCTGGAGTAGGCCAGGCGGGGTCCTCTGGGCACCTGAAAATAGCCCCTCACTGCTATCTACGCTCAAAGCCCACTCCTGGCTCTGCCACAGGCCTAAATTTAGCTCCCTGGCAGCGATCAGTGGAACACAAGTTTCCAGCCTGCCCGCCTCTGGATGTGGGATGTCCTGAGGGGTGGCAAGAGGCTGTGCTACAGAGTATGGTGGCACACACCTGTAATGGCAGCATTTGGGAAGCTGAGGCAGGAAGATCGCGTGCGGTCCAAGTCCAGCCTGAACATGATCTCACATGGTGAGATCCTGTGGCACACGCATTCACGCATGTATGCCAGCAGGAACAGACTAGGAGCTCTCCTATTGCTGAATTTTTCACACAGCTGCATTTCCCCAACTGCAGAAGAGGAGCTGTGGCACCTCCTGCATCAGAATTTAGAGAATGCCAAATAAACAGGGCAGGGAAGCGTGCTCAGGAGAGCTGCAACCTTAGCAAACCTTCAGCCTCGGCAGGCACAGTGGTGCACACACCTGTAATCCCAGCTACTCAGGAGGCTGAGGCAGGAGGATTTCAAGTTTGAGGCCAACAGAAGCAATTTAGCAAGACCCTGCCTCAAAACAACCCTAGGGTTCCGCCTAGCCCATCACCTCCTCTCCTCAGCTGCTCCTCTGTCCCGTCCCTGAGGATGAGCCTGTGACCACCTGTAAGGAAGACACAATCTCTAGTACAAAATACCCACCCTGCTTCCTCCCAGGGGACAGGCATGAGGCCCAGGATACCCGTGACCCTCCACAGGTGACCCAGTCACAGGGCTCTTCAGACGTGCCCGTTTACCCTTCTGTGCTGGTGTCACAAGGTGTCCCTCCCTTTCACAGTCCCCAGGACCACGGGGGCAGCAGAGCACCCTCGAAGACCACGGTGGCCTCCAGGTGCCCCACGTGTCCTGAAGCACAGTGGTCCCATGACACTGGACAGTGCCCTAGGGATGTGGGGGCCTAGTGTCTCTGAGGAGAGCAGCACTGGGCTCTGCCACACGGTGAGGTCCACAGTTCAGCTTTGGACTTTTTAATCTCCTGCTAGACCCAGAGCTTCCGGCTCAGGCTCCTGTCAGTGTCTGCAGGCCACCCCTCAGCATGGAGCCTGGGCAGCAGCTCGTCCCAAGCCCTGTGGTCAGAGCCAGGCAGGGAGTGGTGTGTCCCAGGGACGGGAGGAAGGGACTGGCGCATACAGAGGTCGTTGGGGGCAACCTGGGCTCGCCAGCCCCTACAGGGTCTGCACAGTGCAGGGCCCCTCTGGAGTGGCAGCCATGTCTGGGGGCGCAGGGAGGACCCAGCTGAGATGGAGTTGGATATCTTCGCAAACACAGTGAAGGTTGGATGTGGTGGTGCATTTGGGAGGCTGAGGCAGGAGGATCACTCTGAGTTCGAGGACAGTCTGGAGTATACAACAAGGCCTTGTCTCACAAACAGCAACAACAAAAATCCAAAAATGCAATGCAAGGCCATGCTTCCCGCTGAAGCTACAGCAGACCCTGGGCAAAGAGCTTTGTCACACGGGTGGCAGGGCCACCCACCTCTCTCCTAGCAATGGGATGTGCAGAGAGTTTAGGCATGGGGTCAAAGGTCATGCAGAGAGCAGACCCAGGGTGGGGGCGGGAGCATGCGCAGCAGGGCTCATTTGTCCTTTTCGTCCCTGAACAGTACGACTGCTCCCTAACAAATTTGAGATCCCTTCCATGGTGAAGGCAGCCAACAGGGCACCTGGGCAGGAAGTCAAACCCCGTTCCACGAGTTGGGCTGGGGTGCGCGGCCAGATGGCCAGGGCGACTGGGAAGGGAGCAGAAGGGACCCACGGGGACTTGGAGGCTCCCGGCTTTGCGCTGGGCAGAGGAGACCCGGACACTGAAGGAGCTGGAGCCCGTGAGGTTCCGGACCTCACACAGCTGCAAGTCTGCACAACGGCGGGAGTCTGAGGAGGGGGAGGAGGTCACAGGCGGAGCCAGGAAGCAAAAGGGTCTCATGGTTTACTTGGAAAGGCAAACGGAGCCCGGCCCGGCAGTATGACCCGAGTGGGGTCTCTGGGTGGAGCCGGCCTGGGACAGAATCAGGCACACAGCAGGCCCAGCCATGCCCCATGCTGCAGGAACACCTCAGCCCTTCCCTTCTGTTTAGCAGGGGGCAGGCCCCAGGCGTTTGCACTGGCCACAGCCCAGCCACTAGGCATGCAGGTTGGCAGCTGAAGCCACTAGAGGGTGCCAGGCTGCCTCGGGGCTGTAGGGAGCAGCTGATGCCCAGGGCACTGTGACCTCCGCCAGTCACTGCTTCCGCGCAGGACACAGGCAGGTCTCCTCCTGCTGGCTGCCCTCGGTCCCGGCATCCTGTGTGCTGTGGCCACGTGTTTCTTTATTTCCACCAGTCCACTGCCCGGCCCATCCTGAGGGCCTCAGTTCTCCCTCAGTCTGTCCGAAGGCCCAGGGTGAGGCCTGCCGCACATGGCTGGCGGTTCAAGTGCCTCCCTCTCCTCTGCTCTGGCTCTCACAGCATTTGCTAGCTTGTGCTGGGGCCGAGTGTAGAGATGACAGGGGCAGGGGGCCCCTCGCAGGACCCCAACTTCTGGCCTGGGTGAAACTCTCCCCCAGGAGTCCTCACCAGAGCTGGTTTATTCATTTCAGAGCCCCAGTGTGCATCTGTCTGACTTGCAGAGTCTATTTTGGTTCCAAAATTGAAAAACAAATCATTTCAGGTCAGCAATTCGACAAAGATGACGTATGTGACTGCAGGGAGAGCACATGAGTGATCCCAGACCAGGGGACAGGAAGTGATCCAGGCTGAAACCATGATGCCTCCTCTGAGGGCCTCACCAAGACGTCACTGGGTGGGACATTTACACGGCTGTGTTGTACTTGATGCGCATGTGCACACGTGTGTGCGCGATATTGGGCTGGCACTAGACACGCGCTGTGCCACAAGCTCCTCCCAGCAGTGACTCTGCACCTCTTCTGTGAGTGGGGCTCCCCACCTCCCACGGAGCCACTCCGGAAACCCCTGGTTTTCTGTTCCTGCCAATTAGTTTGCAGTTTCGAGAACGCTGAGGATGGACCTACTGTGATCAGTCAGGCCGGGCGGTGGCAATCTGGAGCTCTGCTCCTGTCCGACCTCTGAGGCTCCCATCTCCTTTTACTTCCTTCCACTGTCCTGATACAGATCTTTCTTCCTTCCCTCTGTTTTTTTTTTTTTTTTTTTTTTTTTTTTTTGGTGGTTGCTGTTGGTTTCGTTGTTTGTTTTTGAGACAGGGTCTTGAAATGTAGTTCAGGCTGACCTTGAACTCCTGGCAATGCTCCTGCCCCAGCCTCCCCGTGCTGGGATTATAAATCTGTGCCACCACGCCTGGCCTGTTTTTGTTTTTTCAGACAAGGTCTTGCTATGTACTTCCGTCTCGATACGTAGTTCAGGCTGGCCTGTAACTCACTATGTAACCCAGGCTGGCGTCAAACTTGTAGCAATCCTCTTGGCTCAGCTTCCCAGTGCTGTAATTATAGGTGTGCACCACCTTGCCTGGCTTTCTTTTTTTGTGTTATTTGAGAGAAGGCTTCTTGTAAGCCAGGCTGACCTCAAACCTGTGGGCCTCCTGTCCCAGCCTCCTGTGTGTGGTGCCCCAGGCCTGTGCCACACCCGACTCCAGATGCAGCTGCTTCATGGTGGATTCTGCAGCCTGCTCCACAGCGCAGGGTCTCCAGACTGCAGAACACCAAGGGCCCCGGGTCCTGGGCAGTGTCCTGGTACCTGTTCATGCTCTGCTGTGACCTTCCCGAAGTGCCTTCACCTCAGGATAGTCACATATGTCCTGATGGAAGCCAAGCTCTCAGTGGCTTTCCAGCCACAGAACTTTTGGGTGGCTCTGCAGGGCCTGGTCTCACGTCTCGCTCTTTACTGTTTCATGCGAGGGTGCCAAACCCTGCACACAACCCTTTGCTCACCAGGCACACTGCGGGCTGACCTGAGGTCTGAATGCTGGATGAGGACCTCTGCTTCAGAGGGCAGGTGTGAGCGACCCTGCCCTCCAGAGTGGTCACTGCACTGAGCCTGGATTGTCCTCAGGTCTGGTCTGGCACTGTGACTTCTGCCTGGCACATGCTCCTGCCATTGCAATGCCATCTGCTGTGCACCTTTAACCTCCAGAACGGAAAAGACACCTCTTTTCCTCGTAAGCACCCTACCTTGGGGATTTTACTGCAGTAACAGAAAACAGCCTAACTCGGAGCTCAACAGGGCTCTGAGAGTGAGCTGGGGGTGCAGATGCTGCAGGAGACGTGGAAGAGATGCAGCCTTGGCACCTTTTTCTGTGGTTATCAGGAAATTACAGACTTCCTTAAAAGAGAGGGAAGAAGGCTCTGGAGCCTGGGGAGCTGCCCACTTCACCAGCTCTGGGACACATGTGCTCTTGGCTTTCCCCACACTGGGGACTGAACCCAGGGCCTCTGCACTGAGCTACATCCCCAGCCCTTTCACTTTTTTTTTTTTTTTTTTTTTTTGGTGACAGTGTCTTGCTAAGTCAGCAGGTTGCCTAGGCTGGGCCCAAACTGCAGTCCTTAGTGCCCAGATTGTAGGCGTGCACCTCCACACCTGGCGCACGTGTTCTTTCAAACACTCATGTTGCCATTTCTGCTACCAACACCCCCCTGGTTCTCTTTTCCCAGGACACCAGCAGGTGCCTTGTCACCAACAACCCTGTCATAGCAACATCACTTGTTTTACCCTTTGCCTGTATCTCCCCAACCCTCAATTCATCCTATAAAGAGGGCAGTGACTCTAGCAACAAACGTGCAGGAGAAGAGCAAGCCCAGGCAGGTGCTCCAGAGGCCACAGGATGGCAAGGGTGGGAGGACTGAGCTGGGACAAGCTCCTTGGTCCATGGTGTACAGGGGAACGACAGGCCCCAGTGGGCTTCCGGGTAACTGGGGAATGAGAGCCAGGCATAGGGGAGCTGGCCCCACAACGGGGACTGCTGTGTCCCAGAGCAGGGTCAGCCAGCCAGGGCCGAGTACAGCCATCTATCTTTGTACAGAACAAAAAGAAAAATGTGTCAAAGAATCAAAAGACAGAACAGAACACGGAGATAGCCTAATGCTACTCCAGTAGCAGATGACCATGATCCACCCATACCACAGAATACTACTCAGCTGTGAAAATGACCGAGGCAGTGACACCTGCCGCCATGTGGAAGAGGCTCAAGACATCAGTGGCTTTTTGTGAAACTAAAGTGATCAAAGGAGAAAATAAAAACACCAGCCATCTAAAATGCAAATATGAACAACGCAAAATACCAGTTTTTGCCCATCAGACTGCTGGCCAGGCCTGTCCACCCTCCCCTACTCTGGTGGAGAGTTAGCCACTGTCCCCCCTCCAGAGGGGGCAGCTTGCCCACAGCTACCAAAACCACCTGAGCACAAAGAGCTTGGCCAGCGGCTGCCCTTCCAGGAGTTTTTCCCCCAGAAATGCACTTTCATGAAACTGGTGGCAAGGGCCTGGGATCTAGCTCTGTGGTGCTGTGCCTGCCTTGCAAGTGCAAGGTCCGGAGGTCAATCCCCAGTACTGGAAAAAACAAACAAACAAACAAACATTGCAAAGCACCACTCCTAGGGCCAGCAAGACACTGTCTACCAGGCAAGGATTTGGCTCAGTGGTTCTGTCCCAGGCGCAAGGACCTGAATTTGATCCCCGGCACCCAAAAAAAAAAAAAAAAAAGACTGTCCACCGAGGGGCTGAGACACGAACTGTGGAGTAGCTAGAAGGATGGCAGGAGGAAGCACCTCTGGCACACATGGGGATGATCTTCAAAAGCACATAAGAGGGAGATGGAGAGGAAACAACTGCTTGCTCCTACCACACATCAGATGGCGAAGGATTCCTAACACCAGTGTTTCCGGGAGCAGAGGTGTCCAGGGCCCAGGCGGAGACTTCTGCTTTTATACTTCTCTGTCTCTGAAATCCGAGCTGTTTTAAAAGTAAACATACAGGGCCGGGGATTTAGCTCAGTGGTTCTGCTGCCTGCCTCACAAGCGCAGGGACCCAAGTTAGATCCCCAGTACCAAAAAAAGGTAAACATACATTTTTAAAAAGGAAAGGGGGAAATGGAAAGTCAGTGTCTAACGGACAGAGCTTCTGTTAGGGATGATGAGAAAATTCTGGAGAGGGACGGTGGTGATTTACTACCCCTGAATGCATACTTAAGTGTTTTGTTTTTTTTTTCCAGTATCAGAAATCGAACTCAGGACCTTGAGCTTGTCAGGCAGGCACAGTGCCACTGAGCTACACCCTTGGGCCGGTTTTTATTTTTTGGGGGGTGAGGCAGGGTCCACTATGTAGTCCAGGCTGGTCATGAATTCATGGTGACCTCCTGCCTCTGCCTCCCCCGTGCTGGGATTACAGGTGTGCACCACCACCCTTGGCTGCATACTCAGGTTTTTTTGCTCTGTATATTTTACAGTAAAAACAAAATACCTACAAATGTGTCCATCCAAAATCCTTGCTGACGGGGGTGGGGGTGGGGAAGCCGATCTATCTTGGACTCAGCTCATCCATCAATAACCCCCTCAAACCCCCGCTGCAAGAGATGGCCTGGCGGGGCGTGGGTACTCCAGGATGCGGGTGCAAGGAACCTCACGATGAAGACCTGGATGCGGATACAGAGACTCCAGTAGCAGGCGCGCAGGGGACTTCAGGATGAGGATAGTGGGGATCCCAAGATGCAGGCGCAAGAGACCCCAGCGGCAGAAGCCCCAAATGGACCGCCGTGAGCGGTAGGCTTAGGGGAATCGGGTGAAAGGAAGACCCAGGGCTAAGCAGTAACCCCACTCAGCCCCGCTCCCCCCGCCTACAGAGCGTAGGGTCCACCTCCGAGATCCCCACCTCACGCCTGCGTAGAGCCTACACCGGAACGGATCTCGCCCCCGCGAACGCTCAGCGCCTGCGCAGACTCCGCCCCGCTCACACTTGGGCCGTGCACTCAGGTAAGCGAGGGCGGGCTCAGCGTCGGCCGCCCATCGTCCGATGTCAGCCATTGGCTGAGAGGTGGGGTGTGAGTCGAGACGGCCGAGGATTGGACTGTGTGCGAGCATCCAGGACCGCGCAGGCCAATCACGTGGCAGCGCGTGAGATGAAGCGCCCGCCCGGCGGGTTCCTGCCTGACTCGCGGTGGTTCGGCTCTGGACTTCCGACTGCTTGACCATGCCCTCCGACCAGTCGCTACTGGCTGTCACCTGCACCGCTCCGGTCAACATCGCGGTCATCAAGTACTGTGAGTGCCACGGCCAGCGCCTGGGTGGGGAAACGAGGCGCCCGATAGAGACGCTGCAGGTTCAGTGGTGACCGGTGGCCGGGTCCCCGTGGATCGGAGCGTGTCGAGGGCAGCCCGACTCCACCGCGCCCGCTCCTCGGCGGCCTCCAGATCTGGGCAGCCAGGGAGGCACAGGTGTGGGAGAGCCTGTTGCCGCGAGGGCGTGGTGCGGCCGCCGGGTTCCACGCAGGGCCGCGCGCAAGCCCTGGGTCCATCCCTGCCCCGCAGCTGCCGTGGGCACCATCGCTGTCCCTCTGACAACTGGGCATCGTTGCCTCCTTGCGGCTCTGACTTGCATTTCCCTGATGGCCAAAGATGTGCACCATCTTTCCTGTGCATTTGCGTTTGTTGCTTTCGGTGAACTGACTCCTCTTTTGGCCTTTTTTTCCTTTTGATGGTACTGGGGATTGATTCCAGGGCCTTCCCACTGAGCTACAGTACTCCAGCCCTTTTCTGTTTTTGAGTAAGGGTCTTGCTAAATCTCTAAGTTGCCCAGGCTGGGCTCAGACTTGTGATCCTCCTCCCTCAGCCTCCCGTGGTGCCAGGGTTATGGGTGTGCCTTTTTTTTTTAATTGTATAGTTTTACATTTAGGTCAGTAACCCATTTTGAGTTATTTTGTGTATGCTGAGGTTCCTTTTTTAACCACCCATAGGTGTTCCATTATTTCAGAGACATTTGTTGAAAAGTTGTCCTCTTCCTCCATATAATTTCATGTGGGTCTGTTTCTAGGTTCTCTTGCTCCTGAGGCCTATGTTTGTCTGTGTCCATCTTTCTGACACTGCCACACTGCTTGGATTGCTGCAGCTATATGGTGAATCTTGAAGTAGGGTAGGGCTGATCCCAACCACTCATTTTTTCAAAATAGAGTAGTTATTCTGGTGTTTTGTTGCATTTCTGTACACTATGTAGTTCGAGTTGGCCTTGTAGCCCAGGCCAGCCTCAAACTCACAGTGATACTCCTGCCTCAGCCTCCAAAATGCTAGGATTACAGGTGTGCGCCACCCCCCCCCCAGCTCATGCATTTTAGAATAACTTCTCTGTGGACATGCAGGCTTGCTTGGATTCTGCGGGGTCCCAAGTTGGGTTAAACCTGCATAGCGCTCTGTGCACGTCACGATGGTGCTACGTCCTGACTCCTGCCTGGAGCTGCTGTGTGGGTCGAGCTGTTTCCGGGTAGAATGTCTCTGGCTTGCTGGCCTTTCCCTCCTCTCCTTCTGAGTTTGTCTGCTGAGCTTTTCATTTCAGCTTCTGTATCCTGTGCTCACGTTTCTGTGTGATACTTCCCTCGTGCGTCTCAGGCTGGTGTCTGGCTGCTTCCTGAAGCGTCCACATCGCAGCTACTTTGGGGTTCTTGCCAGGTGACCACCCTTCTGCATCTGTTGTCTGATTGTCCTCTTCATGCAGTTTGAGGGCCTCCTTTGTCTGGTGTGACAGGTGGTTTTTTTATTTGTTTGTTTTGGCTTTTTGAGACAGGGTCTCACTATGTAGTTGAGACTGACCTGGAACTCACTATGTAGCCCAGGCTGGTCTCAAACTCACTGCGATCCTCCTGCCTCAGCCTCCCGAGTGCTGGGATTATAGGCATGTGCCACCACACCCAGCGACTGGTGGTTTTGGTGAACTTGAAGGTCATGCTTCGGAGACCCTGGGACTTGGCACAGCTGCTGTGGGTGTGGCACCATGGGGCACGGGGGACAGGTGCAGCCTGGTTCTGCAGCGTGGAGCGGAACCCCGCTTCCTGGGCACTGGGCACAGCCTGGTTCTTCAGCTGGTGGGGTGAAGTCCAGGTGACCTGTGATGAAGACAGCCCAGCACCTTCCTGGGGAGGGTGGAGCGCCCCCTTCCAGCATGGGGGGCCGTGCTGTGACATGGTGTGGCTGAGCACTTCCTGGCCTTGCTGGGTGCCCTGGGCAGGGCAGCAGCTCCGCGGTCTCCCTGCGGGTGCGGGGCACCTACCACTGAGCCCAGGCCCCATTGCCTTCGTGTTTCCTGCAAGGGTTTGGAGCAGCAGCTGGGCTTCAGTGGTGCTTGGTGGGGGAGGGGAACAGGACATGTCCATGCTTGACAGATGTTTGGAAATGAGACTTGGAGGTACAGCCTCCGGCCCACGGATGGTACTCACTGGTGGCAAGAGCGGGAGAGGGGTTTGGGTGGAGGGGGCGACTATGTGCAGTAAGCCGCCTCCTGTCTGGAGACGGGCAGGTAGAAAGATGGCCAGAGCCATCAGGAGCACACTCAGGGCCTGAACACGCTCAGGTGATTTGTGGAGTAGGTGAATGAAGAGTGCTCAGAAGCAGTGGCACCCATGGGCAGCTGGCCCTCAGCTCCTTGAGGCACCCAGGAGGGCCTGCGACTGTGCAGGGAGAGAGCAGGATTGCCAAGTGGGATGTGTGACAGCAGGGAGCACCAGCGGGGGTGGGGGGCTGGGGGCTGGAACTCACTGATCTCTGGTTGTCCCTTCCAGGGGGGAAGCGAGATGAGGAATTGATCCTGCCCCTCAACTCCTCTCTGAGTGTCACTGTGCACCAGGACCAGGTGAGGGCCCCTGGGCCCGGCGCCTTCCTAAGCAGGAGGAGGGGGCCTCCCACAGGACTCCCAGCCAGCAGGCGCCTGGTGCCACCTGCAGTTTCCTGTCGCATCCTTCTGCTCCCCCAGGGAAGCTGGGGAGTGGGGCACAGGCCTGTCCCTGCCCTGACAGCACTGGGTTTTCCTCCCAGCTAAGAACCACCACGACGGCCGCCATCAGCAAGGACTTCACGGAGGACCGGGTCTGGCTGAATGGCCTGGAGGAGGATGTGGGGCAGCCACGCCTCCAGGCCTGCTTGAGGGAGAGTGAGTAGGAGAAGGAGGCGGGAGAAGTGGGGTGGGGCCGTGCCCTCCCGAAGAGCCTGGGCGGGCGAGATGCCAGGAGGAGCTACATGGCTCACAGCCTCCTTGCCTCAGTCCGCCGCCTGGCTCGGAAGCGCACCAGCACTGGAGACGGGGACCCGCCGCCCCCCAGCCTCAGCGACAGGGTGCACGTGGCCTCCGTGAACAACTTCCCCACAGCCGCAGGCCTGGCCTCCTCGGCAGCAGGCTTTGCCTGCCTGGGTGAGTGCCCTGGCTCCTCCCACTCCGCCAGCCCAGAGCCCCATCCCAGTGGCTCGCGGCCTGGCCCCAGTCTCTCGCTTCCTGCCTGCAGCCTACACCCTGGCCCGAGTCTATGGGGTCGAGGACGACCTCTCGGAAGTGGCTCGCCAGGGCTCAGGCAGCGCGTGCCGCAGCCTGTACGGGGGCTTCGTCGAGTGGCAGATGGGGCAGCGGGCAGATGGCAAGGACAGTGTTGCTCGGCAGGTGGCCCCTGAGTCGCACTGGCCCCAGCTCCGAGTCCTCATCCTGGTGGTGAGTGGGGTGGGCTGAGGGTCAGAGTGGCAGCGGGCGGTCCAGCCACGGGGTCAGGAGAAATCCTGCGTGGCGAGCACAGGGCCCGGTGTTCCCTCCTGTCAGGTGAGCGCCGAGCGGAAGCCGACGGGCAGCACAGTGGGCATGCAGACCAGCGTGCAGACCAGTGCCCTGCTCAAGGTGAGGCCCGAGGCGGGCCGGCTGTCCTCCCATCTGGGGCAGACCTGGCCGCCCTGAACACCTGCCTGCCTTGCAGTTCCGGGCCGAGGCACTGGTGCCGGCACGTATGGTGGAGATGGCCCGCTGCGTCCGGGAGCGAGACTTCCCGGGTTTCGCCGAGCTCACCATGAAGGACAGCAACCAGTTTCATGCCACCTGCCTGGACACCTTCCCGCCCATCTCCTACCTCAACGACACATCCCGACGCATCGTGCAGCTGGTGCACCGCTTCAATGCCCACCACGGGCAGACAAAGGTGTGGTCCCCGGCGGTGTGGATGTGGCGCTCCAGGCCATGCCAGGTGTTCATTTCCTGGCCAATGCGCTGGTAGCAGGACTCCTTGGGTCACCGCTTGTCACCTCCTGAGTTCTGACAGAAGTGACACGTGTGAGGTGGACCCCTGGTCCCTGGCAGGTGGCCTGGCCGGGGTGGGCAGTGCGGGGACGCCACATGACGACTGTGGTTCCAGGTGGCGTACACATTTGACGCGGGCCCCAACGCTGTGCTCTTCACTCTGGAAGACACCATGGCTGAGATTGTGGCCGTTGTGAGGCATGCCTTCCCCCCAGAGGCAAATGGGGACAAGTGAGTGTGGGTCCCCGGCCTCCCAGGCGACAGGTGGGGCCCAGGGCCAGTGTCCTGCGAGGAGCTCCTGGGGGCCACAGCTTTCCCAGCTGGTGGTCACAAGACGGGGACGAGTACGTGTGATGGTACCCGTGTCTCCCCTAGGCCTCAGAAATAGCACTCCCCTGGCCAGCATGGTGGCACATACCTGTCACCGGGAAGCTGAGGCTGGAGGTTTGCAAGTTTGAACCCAGCCTGCACCATGTACATATTGAGACTCTGCCTCAAAAAAACAAAAAAGAAAAAGAGGGAACTGTCACATGTGCTTAGGGACCCTGTGTACCCTTGCCCCAGCAAATGGTGGTTTTGGTTTTGATTAGGAAGCGCACAGGGCATTCTGAGGATTAGGTTCAATATCTGACGTTTAAAAAGAAATGATTCCAGCAAATCTGGTTCCCTCTTTCTGAAGTGACGTTGGGCACAGGAGTCTCCAGTTCCTTTGTGTTCCCATCTTCCCAAGAGCAGCCACCAGCCCGAGGCCCTGCCTTCCAGTTGCCCCACTCCCCGTGCCCCCACATGCGGATGCATACACACTCCTGCCTCGGTGTCCCCAGGTTTCTGAAGGGGCTGCCGGTGACACCTGTCCCTGTCTCTGATGAGCTGAAGGCCACGCTGGCCATGGAGCCTGCCCCTGGAGGTGTCCAGTATGTCATCGCCACGCAGGTGAGTGCCAGGCATAGCGGCTTCTGCAGGGCCAGGCCTTGGCACCTTGTGTGGGCACTGGTTGCCTGGGGCACGGACATCAAGGGTGGGGCTCAGCCTGGACTGAGGGTGTGGGTAGAGCCAGGAAGAAGGCTCCTGTGTCACCAGTGATCTGGTGCTGGTGTTCGTCCCCAGGTAGGCCCAGGGCCGCAAGTCCTGAATGACCCAGATGCTCACCTCCTGGGGCCCGATGGCCTGCCAAAGCCCAGGCTGGCCGCCTGAGCCTGCTGCTGTATGCTGTCAGCCGCTCAAGCTGCTTGCTGGGACCAGGGGCAGGTGTGATGGCGAGGCCACATGTGTACCCACAGAGCTTTCAGCTGTGGCCCTGGTCATCGCCGGCTGTCCCCCAAGTGCCTCACTGGTTCCCTGTGGTACTTCGCTCAGGTGGGCATTGGACTGAGCCCTGTGGAGGGGCTCCCTGACCCAGCTGCTGTACTGAGGTTTGCAGGACAGGGGCTCCTGAGGAGGTGCCTTCCGGTGGGGCTCCCGGCAGGAAACCTAGCCAGCTGCACCTCTGAGACTCCCGGACGCTGCACTCAGGCCACAGTGCGAATGGGAATGGGATGTTTTTAAAAATACCAGTACATATTGAGCTGATGGCATATGCCTGTCACCCCAGCACTCTTGAGAGGCTAAGGCAGGAGGATCGCAAGTTCAGGTCTAGTCTGGGTAATGTAGTGACTTAGATCCTGTCTCACTAAAAAAAAAAAAAAAAAAAAAAAAAGAAATGCAGAGGATGTACAGCTCTGGGTTCAACCCCTAGTCCTGCCACAAATCAAAACATATACCTAAAAAGAAATCAAAAGCCCATACCACAGAATAAAGGTGTTGGTTACCACCGCCTCTGCCTCTGCCTCTGCTTCCTGGGCAGCCTGGCCTAGGCCACCTGGGGACGCAAGGGCAGGGGCTTCTCCTCCCCAGGCCCGTGCGCCCGGGCCCAGTGCGATCCCCACCACTGGGCCGCGCCCCCAGCGCCCTTCCTCCTGGTTCCGACC